ATTTAAGTCCATAAATTGATGTTTTTGGATCAATGCATTAGCCTTATGAATATGGTTAATGTGACTCAACTTCTGAGAAATGAAGCCACACTCATTGTCTGTGTTGATTAGATCAAGTTTCTGGGTCCTTAATGCTGAGAGCTGGAAAAAAAACCCTACTCCCTGATATTCCCCCTGTGGGGAGACAGCCTTCTGGACTGCCTCTGGGAGTAGCCCTCTTCATTGCCGTCTGAATTGCTATCCCAAGAACTTTTTATGTGCAGACACTTTGTCATGAATTTAGGGTTTATAGGGAAGTAAAAGAACATCCCTGGGCTCAAGTGTTCACAGGTTCACCAGGGGCAATAATACGTGAAAAGTTAGTAGCTAGAGAGAATGACAAAGCAGAAATGGCACATGGTAATATATCCAAGGGCCAAATGAAGGTGCATAGACAAAACTTTCTGCCAGCCCTTCTCCTTTGCGCAGACTTCTCCTTGGGACAGTGCTGCTATTGCCAGTAGTTCAATTCCTTTGGCTTTGAACAGAGTGAATATCACTTTCCAGACATTCCTGTTTCATGTGATGTAGAAAGAAGATGCAGTTAGTTTGGAAGCAAGACCTGTCTCCTAATTCTGTCTCTTGCATTTAATTGTGGCATGACATTTGGAAAGTCAATTAACCCCACTTGGCTGCAGTTCTTGCTCCTGTAAAACCAGAATGAAAACCACTTTTCTTGTAGGGTTTGGTGAGGATTAGAGAAAAGGTATAGAAGAGCCTGGGAACATAGATGATAAAACATAAAAGATTGCTTTTATCAATCCTGATGCTTGGGCTAGTCTGTCAGATCATTTCCCTCTAAGCTAGTGTGTCACAGTTCATAGGCTTGCGGAATTAGCTGTGAGTTGAAGTTGAAACTTAATGCAATTCACTCAACCTTTACAAACCTCTGTTTGTTCTTCTGCAATGTATAGATTTTAAAACTCATTGGGCTCACTTAAAACTGAGCCACTGAAACAGTGTCAGAAAGTAGTCTAAAGTCAGGAATATAGTCAGGCACAAATTCAAGGTCCCCTCATCTTATCCTACTCCCTGTCTCCACTGGGATCTGGCCTGTCCAGCTCACTGATGGAGATGATGAGGTTTGGTGAAAGCAGCTGAACATCAAACCCAATATCATTTTTCTTTTCATTTCTTATAAAAACAGTCATTTGATAGTAACTTTAGCTAAATCTATGCCTTTGCCTGTGTTCTGTACTGGTGAATTACAATCGTAGAATCTTCATACCATTTGCTAAGATGGTTGTTGGGAAAATAGCGTGCCATTCTTGGGATGGGTGGAGCTTATCAAGGTGCTTCATATTCCATTTAAACCTCATAGCAACCTGGAAGGTGGGTACTGGTTCCCATGAGTTGTGACCCACCCACAGGTCACACAGCAGGTGCGTGCAGAGCCAGAACTAGCTCTCTGTTCAAATAACTCCCTAGGACACATCCAACCTTCATTCTCCTATGCTTTCTATCCCTATGAGCTCAATGCTAGTCTCTTGTAAATGTCAATCAAGGTTACCCACATTTCAACTCTCCCACTGGCCTGTGATTCTGCTATATTTTGTTTGGGTCCCTCACTCCCCAAAGTAGCACAGGCGGCCCCTTTAGTAACCAGGAATATGGTCAGGCAAAATATCAGCCTCTGATTGGGCCTGAAATAAGCTGACTGTAAGGGCCAAATGCTTTAATTTTGGAACATGAGCTAAATAAAAAAAAAGATTCACCGTTTGGGAGGGTAGGAAGAGAGTCCATCCTGCTATGGTGATTTCTAATTAATCAGAGCAGTGTGGAGTCTGTGGGTTTGGCTCTGTAAATAGAAAGCAGATGCCACCATGGAGGCTGCCCAAATAAGAAAAATAGCAGAAATGGCTTCAATCTGTGACAAGTTTAATGAAAAGGATTAGAAGAAATGATGTGTAAGTTTTTTAACATCTTATTATAATTAGTAGGAGGGGTGTGTAGCCATAACACCCTATTCTTTTCAGAGAAAAGCGGCCCAAAATATGTTTCCAATAAAATTTCCCAGTCTCCTTATCAAAAGCAAGCAAACAAAAAAGATTTGGGGATGTAAATCATTATCGACTGGACTTTCAAAAGGAACCTATATGTACAAAGTGCAATCCTGTTCTCTCAAAAGCAAGATCACACATTCAGCGGGTCTAGCCTATGCCAGACACTTTACAACTGTAATCTCGTTGAATTCTCATAAAAACCTAGTGAGGGAATTGATTTTTTTGTTTGTTTGTTTGTTTTTTGTTTTTCTAATTGCCTTCTTCTTGATGAAGCAACAGAGACATAGAGAGTGAAGCCAGTTGCTCTAGGTGCCACACATGACCAGGGGAGGCACTGGGTGTGGACCAGATCAAACAGGAGAAACTATGGTGGTGTTGCCTGGCGGTCTGGAGCATGACTTACCTGGGTCTAAATGCCAGCTCCGCCCTTACTAGCTACAATGCCTTGGGTGAGTTACTTAAACTCTTTGTGCCTCAGTTTCCTAGCTATAATTTAGGGGTATTATACAAACGGACAATGGCCAGACCATATATGACAATGGAGCTCCGATCCTCAATCTCTACAGTAGTTGGCCCAAAACAGTCAGGATGTGGGCAATGACTGCCAGCTTCCTTACTTTTTTGCCCTTCCTTCCAACCCAGAACCAACCAGAAAAAGCCAAAGCCACATATGCTCCCTTAACAAATCCCATAAGATGCCCCACTTCTAGCTAGCAACCTCTGCTTTGCCATGCCAACAGAGCATATCTGAAGCCTCCCTTTCTAAAGCTTTCCCACTTCCCTGCCTGGCTTTGAGTCACTGCCAAACACAAGAGGTGGGGGCTGACTCTCTCCTGTAAGTAAGCCCCGAAAAGCCTCTGTTTGTTCTCCTTTGAACTGTCTTAGTTTATTTCCACAGGGATAATAACAGTACCAACCTTGTAGGGTTGTCACGATGTAGTTAGTAATGCAGGTGAAGTGCTTAAAACAGAATTTGACATATTAAATGCTCCCAAACATAGTTACAATATTTAAAAATCAATTTCACAGTAGAAAGGCAGCTTCCAACACATGATTTGCACATGAGAAAGTTTAAGAACTACCGTGGTGTGGGAATTGGAGCAGATACATAGTTGAGGCCTCCTATGGCCTATCCTAGGCAATATTGTTCAGTATTTAATTCCTTTCCCTCTCTAATTGCCAAGACAAAGATATAAAACAATTAAGATACCAGAAGGTGGACAGGACAAGCCCAGCTATATGCCCCATTCCCTAGCTCCCTGCACCCACTCTTTTAGCTGAGAGGAGCCAAAAGTGAGAGCAGTCACTGGGGCCCAGAGAAAGAGGCAACTCTCAGCCTATGAACACTTGGAAGTACAAAGAATGCAGTTCGTTCACCTCCTGATTATAGCTCTCATCCCTGTGAGTTGGAGCGGGAACCCTTCTTAGGGGCCTGTGGGCACTGCCAAATAGGGAAATAAAGGAAAATCTTGAGTTCCTTCAAGGAAAATTCTAGGCACCTACCTAACTCTGAGATGTAAATGAGCAACTTGATAAATAAGAAGGTAGTAATAGTTTTAAACAATAGCCATAGGGCTATTGTTTAATACTAGTTTTAAACAATAGCATGGTGACCCACACCTGTAATCCCAGCATTTTGGGAGACCGAGGTGGGTGGATCCCTTGAGGTCGGGAGTTTGAGAGTAGCCTGGTCAACATGGTGAAACCCTGCTTCTACTAAAAATATAAAAATTAGCCAGGCATGGTGGCTCACACCTGTAACCCCAGCTACTTGGGAGGCTGAGGCAGGAGAATCGCCTGAACCTGGGTTCAGTGTTGCAGTGAGCCGAGATTGTACCACTGCACACCAGCCTGGGCGATGGTGGGACTCTGTCTCAAACAAACAAACAAACAAACAAACAATAGCCAAGGAAGTTAGAGTGAGGAGATGTTTTGCTCCCTATAAAAACTAAGAATAGGATCTTAACATATGTCCCTGAGTTGTTTTCAGAAACCTAGACCCCCACCAAATGAATCTGCTGGCACACAGACTTCTGATAAGGGGGAACTGGGACTGAACTCTGACTGCTGTTCGTCCGTCAAAATTTCTTCCTGAGGGGCCTGGAGGAGATCAAACCCATGAGCCAAAGCTAGCATTCTTTTCTGCTGATCCCAAATTTTCAGACAAAGCTTCACCTCCTAAATCAAATCAGAAACTCTTTGAATCCACCTATGACCTGTACCCCTACCCACCTCAAGATGTCCTGCTTTTTCAGTCCAAACCAATACATAGCCTTTGTGTATTGATTTATGGCTTTGCCTGTAACCTCTGTCTCCCTACCTTTAAAAACCCTTCCTTGTCAGCCATTGAAGAGGTTGGGTCTTGGGCATGAGTTGCCCTGTAATTAATGCTTCACTTTCTCAAACTGCAATCCTGATGTCAGTGTTTGGCTTTGCTGTGCCAGGCAAGCAGACCCCAGTTCAGTTCGGTAACAACTGCTGTCTTTGGAATGCATGTCCCCTATATTGGACTGAAATCACCATCGCTATTCATACTTGAGAAAGAAAGACTTCTGTCTCTAAGAGGAAGCAAACGAAGGAAAATCACCAGACATTTGACAAGATTCAGTACTTCAAAAGACAGAACTTTACACAAGGAATCAAAGAAAACATCTCCCTACACAACAGACTAACAACAACCAAATACAAACATTTCTGAAAAATATGTTTTCTGCATAACAGAATTTGAGAGAACATCATACCTTTGAAAGGCAATCAAAATGATGAGAGAAAAGATGACTTGAATATGAAAAACGTGGTTCGTGGATTATTAAATGCATGAGCTGATTCAGACAATGATGGTCAAAGGCATCCCAGTGCTTTGTAAAGGGAGAGCTCAGACTGAAGTGATTACTATTGTTAGTGGTGATTGTCTTAATATCAGGGAAGAGGCTTTAAGGCAGTTCATCCAGACATTACCTGCCTCCAGATGTGATGCAGCAGGAAGCCCATGGTTCTGCCTCTGATTGAGCCTCGCCAAAAAAGGTGAAACACAATCCAGTCAAATCTTTCAAGGTAACCATTTATAGAAAACCTGGGTGAAGAGAGAAGGAAGGACCAGTTAATTGACACCACCAGGATGCAAATACTGAGTACAGGACATTTTATAAGACAACTGACAGGTATAAAACAAAAAGGAAGGAGGGAAGACGGCTGCCCTAGATTAGAAGGGACTTACGAGAAAAAAATTACCAAATGGGAAGGGAAGAACTTGTTTGAATATTAATTCAAACAAACCAAGGCAAAAAGACATTTTTAGAAATGTTCAGAGAATCTTAATTACACGATTGAATACTGTGTGATACCAAGGAATTTTTGTCAATTTTATTAGGTGTGATAGTGTATTCAAGAAAATGTCCATCTAACCTTAGACATGCATACGTCAAAGTCCAGGGATAAAGATGACATAATGTGGGCTGGGTGTGGTGGCTCATGCCTGTAATATCAGCATTTTGGGAGGCCAAGGTGGGAGGATCACTTGATTCCAGGAGCTCGAGACCAGCCTGGGACATGTAGTGAAACCCCATCTCTACAAAAATAAGACAGTTAGTCAGGCATGGTGGCACGTGCCTATAGTCCCAGCTACTTGGGACGCCAAGGTGGGAGGATCACTTGAGCCCAGGAGGCAGATGTTGCAGTGAGCTGAGATTGCACCACTGCACTTCAGTCTGGGTGACAGAGTGAGACTGTATCTCAAAACACACCTCACATACACATACACATAAATCACAAATGACATGATGGCTGGCATTGTTTTAAAATATCTCAACAAAAGGAAAAAAAGGAATAGACAAAGAAAATGTTGCAAAATCTTGATTATTACTGAATCTGGCTGCTGGTGATATGGAGGTGTTGTAGTTTTCTTTGTTTGATCTTGAGGTCTCCCTTTGAAGATGGGCTGTAAGCGCTAGCCCTGCCCTGACAGTCGTGAGTGCTTAGAGTGTCTCTGGCAGGATACCTGTGGATGGCCTAATGCCTCAGTGTCCAACCCATGACTCATGGGAAACTTGTTTATACCGGCAGATGCTTTTGTGGCTCTTGTCTGACCTCTGTCTGGTTTATTCCTTCCAAGAAAGTCATTCTCTAAGAGAGCCCTGATGGGGAATAAAGTTAGGTTCAGGTGTGTCAGTCAGTGGAGACACGAGATACAGGGAGGGCCACTCAACAAACCACAGGAAGTAACAGAAGCAGTGCATTACTTACAGATCCCAGAGAAAAGGGCAGCCGTCCTCACAGGGCCAATGGGGAGCTGGTAACATGCGTAACCCAGGTGGGTTTCCTGTGGGAAGTCCAATTGATGGGGTTATAACTAGCTGGCCCCAGCTCTGTGGAGGCACACTGTAACTGAGAGGTGTCATTGTGGCACGTCTGTGCAGTCCCTGTGAGGTGTGGGAGTCAGTGGGGTGAGTCAAGCAGGCATCTATATGTCCCATGGGGAAGTGGTCACCAGGAGGCAGTTGTATAAGGCAGATATCTAGATCAACCAGATTGAATAACTGGGAAGAGGCACAGAACTGGACACTATGTTGAGGTTGACTAAGCCCTGCTTCTGGTATGATAAAGTCCAACTTATTTTCAAACATGGATGCTGAGGCAACATAAAATTATGGGAATTCACTTCAGGCGGTTTGTTGTGCTCTTCTCTCTTTTGATTTTTTTAAAATGTTCATTTTTAAAAATTACATAAGTTACAGTCAAATGGACGTCATGTTTATCTGATTCGTTACTCATAACAGGCAGCTATTGGAACAGAATTTTCTTTTTCTGAATCTTCCACTCAGTCTAAAAATCATCACACCTGGACTTTGCACCTTCAGATCTACACTGGAGCACGTGGTGGGTGCCGGGATGCTCTGTCTATATCCCCTCTTCAGGGTGGAGAAACTATTTCCCCAGCATCTCAGTGGGTTGCCTACTGATGTCTAAAAGCTGAATCCCTTCCCAGGAACCGACCTTGGCCAAGGGGAGCTGCCCCTCCCCAGGGACAGTTCACATCCATTTTCAAAGCTATATAGGATAAATAAAGGCCCCCTTGCCTCAACATGGAACAGCGCTGAAGGGCTCCAAAGGCTCCCATAAGATGGCTGAGGTCTTTGTTTTGATTGCTTTGCCACTGAACTTGTCCTTCTGATCAAGCCTGCTCCCATTACTCCCCCAGGGGCTTACTCTTTACAGCAGTGACCGATAAACGTCCTACATACAAATCTCTATCTCAGCTTCTGTTTCCCAGGAAACCCTAACCTAAGCTAGTGTGGAAAGGCCTCTACTACCTAATGTTGAAGGAAAAAAGCAGGTTGTAAAACAGTATGAATAGAACGTTTCCACATAAATAATGGAAAATAACAACAACAACAACAAAAGCATACATTTCTAGATGGGTATAAATACACAGAAAAAAAGATGGAGATATGTATCTTTTTACTTTGGGAAACGGAAATGAGTTGGGAAGATGTTAAGGGCAGTTTTCACTGTATTTTAATTGCTTCAACTTTTATCTAAAAGATGAATTAATCTGTTATTTATGTTTTTCAAAATAAGTCATTTTTTTTCTTTTTAGACATGCAATGAAAGCAACATTCTGCAAATGGAATACTACAGACACTTATGTGAGTCAATAAGAAGATGATATTATGTCTACCAAAATTCAGACAAAAAGGCTAAAGAAAGAAGTCCATGTGAATACATTTAAAAAGATGAAAAGTAATGGCTGGGCGCAGAGGCTCACGCCTGTAATCCCAGCACTTTGAGAGGCCGAAGCTGATGGATTGCTTGAGTCCAGGAGCTTAAGACCAGACTGGGCAACATGGCAAAAGTCCCTCTCCATAGAAAAAAAGAGAAAAAAAATAGCTGGGTGTGGTGGCACATGCCTGTAGTCGCGGCTACTTGGGAGGCTGAGGTGGGAGGATCACTTGAGCCTGGGGGGTGGTGGTTACAGTGAGCCAAGAATATGCCACTGCACTACAGCCTGGATGACAGAGTGAGACCTGTCTCAAAAAAAAAAAAAAAAAAAAAAAAAAGATGGAAAAGTAGATCCAGAGAATTATATCTATGTGTGTTTCATATGAAAGAGAAATTTCAGAAGCAGGGGAGAGCAAAGGAGAAGCAGCAATGGTTAAACAAATCATAGAAGAAAAATTGCTTTGTTTCAAGCAATCTTCTGAACAAAAGGTTTCCAGGTACCAGGCAAAATATCCAGAAAGAAATGCAAACCTATGTGGTGGAATAAACTCAAGAGACATGGAAAAAATTTTACAGGCATTCAGGGATTAAAAACAAGTCTTCCAAATATAGAAACAATTTAGTAGGCACCAGACTTCTTGAAAAATACCAGATATCAAAAGTCAACAGAGAAGAACCGTGGCACTTGATGGGGAAATATCATGGCCTGGGGCTTCCGTATCCAATAAAGTCATATTTAACATGCACAAGAACATCAGAAGGATGTCTCGTACATGCTAGGACAAAAAGCAGCGTGTTGGGACACTTATTCTTAGTAGAAATTACTTGTGGAAGTATTGATGGACAGTTGCTCTAAACCAAGAAGTTGAGTCTGGAGATTGGATAGGAAATTGATGGTGATGAACAATAAAACAAAAATTCAAAGGTTGGAATTACTCTAAATAATTGATATTAGTGTGAGTGAAACAATGCAAATGTCAAAAATAGTCCTTTAAAGTTAATGCTCATGACATTAAATTAACCAGATAGCCATTACTATTATTAATCTGGATGGAAAGTCCAGTGTCTATTGGTAAAACCCAAGGGGACATGGTAGGCAGGAAGAGAAGAAGAAAGGAGAAAGCATGAGTCTGCTAACTCTCCTATAGTTTATGGAGGTATTCAAAAGAAATATATTGTCAGCCGAAGATTATCATTGGTAGACAAAAATTTAATTTCTAAAGAAACAGAAAAAAATAGGAAAATCTGGTCAATGTAATAAAATGTAAGAAAAAGGTGAAAAAAAGTTTAAAAGTACAAAATAAGATGATGAAAACGGTGGAAAAAGTTATTAAAGTGAATACGAATGTATTAAATAGAAGAATTAGAAATAAGAAATATTCAGCTTTAGTTGAATAAAAAAATTAATTAAATGTGGTTTTCCAGAGACTTGACTAAAATTAAGTAAGAAGGTTTAAAATGATGAGGTGAATACAGGCACACTGGGCAATAAAAGAATGTAGGGATGGCAATAGTAATATCAAATAAAGTTGAAATAAAGAGAGTTACTAAATGGGACAGAGGGCTGTTTTAAATTTTGAACAACATCTACAGTAAAGATACAACAGCCATGAACAATGACTGAGTCTATTCACCTAATCACATAGCATCAAAATATTGAAAAATATATTCAAAATAGGAGGAGACATTGACAAAAAAAATGTATCCTATAGTCAGCTTTATTATACTTGTCCCAAAAGAGTAGCAGAGAAATTCACTAAGAATATAAAAATTAGTATAATTAATGAGCTTGTATCTCTAGCTAGGTAGCTAGCTGTTGTGGATTACATTTATTACAACCATCCACTGTATATTTACAAAAAAAATCAGTATCTTAAATTAAAAAGCGAATCTCAATAATTCCAAAAGAGACATTATATCAACCAGATTTTTCACCAAAATGCAATGCAACTGCAAACTAATTGCCAATTCTTTAAAAAAAAAAAAAATCTACTGGCCGGGCGCGATGGCTCACGCCTGTAATCCCAGCATTTTGGGAGGCCAAGGCAGGTAGATCACAAGGTCAGGAGATTGAGACTATCCTGGTTAACACAGTGAAACCCCGTCTCTACTAAAAAATTAGCCGGTAGTATAGTTTGAAGTCAGGTAGCGTGATGCCTCCAGCTTTGTTCTTTTGACTTAGGATTGTCTTGGAGATGCGGGCTCTTTTTTGGACCATCATCGGGCAGTATGGCCATTTTCACGAATATTGATCTTCTATCCATGAGCATGGTATGTTCTTCCATTTGGTTTGTGTCCTCTTTTATTTCACTGAGCAGTGGTTTGTAGTTCTCCTTGAAGAGGCTCACAGTAACCAAAACAGCATGGTACATGGTACCAAAACAGAGATATAGACCAATGGAACAGAACAGATTCCTCAGAAATAATACCACACAATCTACAGCCATCTGATCTTTGACAAACCTGAGAGAACAAGAAACTGGGGAAAGGATTCCCTATTTAATAAATGGTGCTGGGAAAATTGGCTAGCCATAAGTAGAAAGCTGAAACTGGACTCCTTCTCCTTACTCCCTTATACGAAAATTAATTCAAGATGGATTAGAGGACTTAAATGTTAGACCTAATACCATAAAATCCTAGAGGAAAACCTAGGTAGTACCATTCAGGACATAGGCATGGCAAAGAATCTCATATGTCTGAAAACACAGAAAGCACGCAGCAGCAAAGCCAAAATTGACAAAGGATCTCATTAACTAAAGACACTTTTGCACAGCAAAGAACTACCATCAGAGTGATACAGGCAACGCTACAGACATGGGAAAACAATTTTCCGCAATCCTACTCATACTGACAAAGGCTAAGTATCCACAGACCTACAAACGAACTCAAACAAATTAATACCAGCAAACAAACAAACAACCGCATCAAAAGTGGGCAAGGATATGAACCAGACATTTCTCAAACGAAGACACTTCATCACAGACCAATAGAGCACACATGCCAAATGTTCACATCATCACATGGCCATCAGAGAAATGGCATCAAAACCACAATGAGAATCCGCATAATCATCAACGCGCCACCAGTTGCAATGGCATCATAGAAAAAAGTCAGGAAACCCACAGGTTGCTGGAGACGACTGTGGAGAAATAGGAACACTTTTCAACTGTGGTGGCTCATGTAAACTAGTTCAACATTGATGAAAAACAGTATGGAAGAGCTCCTCAAGGATCCTAGAACTAGATGCTACCATATGACAACAGGCCATCCCATTACTCGGGTACTATACCCAGACAGGATATACATCAGCTGCGATCACAAGACAGCATGCACCGATATGTTTACTTGCAGCACTATTCATAGCAAAGACTTGGATCACCCAAATGTCCCATCAGTGACAGACTGGATTGAAGAAAATGTGGCACATATACCCATGGAATACTCATTGCGCATACGAACAAACCAGGATGAGGTTTCGCTGTCCTTTGCTAAGGGACACTGGATGCAGTTTGGCAAACCATCATTCCTTAGCGAAAACTGACTCCACAAGAAAGAAAACCCAAACACCCGCATGTTCTACTCATCCAGGTGGGACTCGAA